ATTATCACTACACATTAGCCATAGTTCCCATTGTCTAGCACTGTGGTGTGGTCCAGTGATGGTGTGGTCCAGTGATGGTGTGGTTCAATGATGGTGTGGTCCAGTGATGGTGTGGTCCAGTGATGGTGTGGTCCAGTGATGGTGTGGTCCAGTGATCTGTCTCAGTGATGGTGTGGTCCAGTGATGGTGTGGTCCAGTGATCTGTCTCAGTGATGGTGTGGTCCAGTGATGGTGTGGTCCAGTGATGGTGTGGTTCAATGATGGTGTGGTCCAGTGATGGTGTGGTCCAGTGATGGTGTGGTCCAGTGATGGTGTGGTTCAATGATCTGTCTCAGTGATGGTGTGGTCCAGTGATGGTGTGGTCCAGTGATGGTGTGGTTCAATGATCTGTCTCAGTGATGGTGTGTCCCAGTGATGGTGTGGTCCAGTGATGGTGTGGTTCAATGATCTGTCCCAGTGATGGTGTGGTCCAGTGATCTGTCCCAGTGATGGTGTGGTTCAATGATCTGTCTCAGTGATGGTGTGTCCCAGTGATGGTGTGGTCCAGTGATGGTGTGGTTCAATGATCTGTCCCAGTGATGGTGTGGTTCAATGATCTGTCCCAGTGATGGTGTGGTTCAATGATCTGTCCCAGAGATGGTATGGTCCAGTGATGGTGTGGTCCAGTGATGGTGTGGTTCAATGATCTGTCCCAGTGATGGTGTGGTTCAATGATCTGCCCCAGTGATGGTGTGGTTCAATGATCTGTCCCAGTGATGGTGTGGTTCAATGATCTGTCCCAGTGATGGTGTGGTTCAATGATCTGTCCCAGTGATGGTGTGGTCCAGTGATCTGTCCCAGTGATGGTGTGGTTCAATGATCTGTCTCAGTGATGGTGTGTCCCAGTGATGGTGTGGTCCAGTGATGGTGTGGTTCAATGATCTGTCCCAGTGATGGTGTGGTTCAATGATCTGTCCCAGTGATGGTGTGGTTCAATGATCTGTCCCAGAGATGGTATGGTCCAGTGATGGTGTGGTCCAGTGATGGTGTGGTTCAATGATCTGTCCCAGTGATGGTGTGGTTCAATGATCTGCCCCAGTGATGGTGTGGTTCAATGATCTGTCCCAGTGATGGTGTGGTTCAATGATCTGTCCCAGTGATGGTGTGGTTCAATGATCTGCCCCAGTGATGGTGTGGTTCAATGATCTGCCCCAGTGATGGTGTGGTTCAATGATCTGTCCCAGTGATGGTGTGGTTCAATGATCTGTCCCAGTGATGGTGTGGTTCAATGATCTGTCCCATTGATGTGTGTGGTTCAATGATCTGTCCCAGTGATGGTGTGGTTCAATGATCTGTCCCAGTGATGGTGTGTTTCAATGATCTGTCTCAGTGATGGTGTGGTCGTGATGGTGTGGTTCAATGATCTGTCCCAGTGATGGTGTGGTCCAGTGATGGTGTGGTTCAGTGATGGTGTGGTCCAGTGATGGTGTGGTCCAGTGATGGTGTGGTCCAGTGATGGTGTGGTCCAGTGATGGTGTGGTCCAGTGAAGGTGTGGTCCAGTGAAGGTGTGGTCCAGTGATGGTGTGGTTCAATGATCTGTCCCAGTGGTGTGGTCCAGTGATGGTGTGGTCCAGTGAAGGTGTGGTCCAGTGAAGGTGTGGTCCAGTGATGGTGTGGTTCAATGATCTGTCCCAGTGATGGTGTGGTTCAATGATCTGCCCCAGTGATGGTGTGGTTCAATGATCTGTCCCAGTGATGGTGTGGTTCAATGATCTGTCTCAGTGATGGTGTGGTCGTGATGGTGTGGTTCAATGATCTGTCCCAGTGATGGTGTGGTCCAGTGATGGTGTGGTTCAGTGATGGTGTGGTCCAGTGATGGTGTGGTCCAGTGATGGTGTGGTCCAGTGATGGTGTGGTCCAGTGATGGTGTGGTCCAGTGAAGGTGTGGTCCAGTGAAGGTGTGGTCCAGTGATGGTGTGGTTCAATGATCTGTCCCAGTGGTGTGGTCCAGTGATGGTGTGGTCCAGTGATGGTGTGGTCCAGTGATGGTGTGGTTCAGTGATGGTGTGGTCCAGTGATGGTGTGGTCCAGTGATGGTGTGGTTCAATGATCTGTCCCAGTGATGGTGTGGTCCAGTGAAGGTGTGGTCCAGTGATGGTGTGGTCCAGTGATGGTGTGGTCCAGTGAAGGTGTGGTCCAGTGATGGTGTGGTCCAGTGATGGTGTGGTTCAGTGATGGTGTGGTTCAGTGATGGTGGGGTCCAGTGATGGTGGGGTCCAGTGATGGTGGGGTCCAGTGATGGTGGGGTCCAGTGATGGTGGGGTCCAGTGATGGTGGGGTCCAGTGATGGTGTGGTCCAGTGATGGTGGGGTCCAGTGATGGTGGGGTCCAGTGATGGTGGGGTCCAGTGATGGTGTGGTCCAGTGGTGTGGTCCAGTGATGGTGTGGTTCAGTGATCTGTCCCAGTGATGGTGTGGTCCAGTGATGGTGTGGTCCAGTGATGGTGTGGTCCAGCAGAGCTACAAACAATCACATGGTCCAAGTTTGTTATGGCACACAATACAAGCCAACAATGACGTTAATTCCAGGTTGTGAAACACTGTTATTAATATATAATTTCATAAGTCTTCACTTCAAGTCAAGAATTCCTTTCATAGTATAAATTTTTAATAAATGTATTCATCTGTTCTTCCCCAAGATATATAAAAATATTATTTTAGCAATAAATCTTTACTATATAAACCGTATGAAGTCAATCATCTTTCAAAGAAAACGATTTTATGAGTAACTAATTTAACTTTGGCACACACGAAATCGTAATGACACGATTGCAAACAAATCATACCACGGGCGGGATAGAACCCGCGGTCAGAGTGTCTCAAAACTCCAGTCCGCGGGTTCTAACCCCACCCGTGGTATGGTTTGAACTTTCTTAGGTAGGTTTGAGTCGTAGATGATACGTATAAGTGGCTTTGGCATACTGCTCTTATCTGTATTTTTTTGTACCTCTGTATGTGTGCTCAAATTGGAAATAAATAAAAAAATAAATAAAAAAATAAATAAATAAATACCATATAATTAATATATAATTTGATCTATCACTCCCTAGGACCCCAATACAAATATGTAACTAAGTTTTTCGGGTTATCCTTTGTAATTTACACTATATATGATAATTGTACTGTCTGTATGTGCCTAAATAATCTTACTTAATCCTGCCTCGTACTCTAAGTCATATACGTACTTTAATATTATTGGACATACGACTATACATATTAAGTACAAATGTTAACTATATGTTAAGACCAAATTAAGTGCTCGTATATACATTACTGAAGTTAGTTAAGCATGTTTATGTACCCCATACCCATCCTGTGGGAGATATATACATTCTGTGGGAGGTACATAATGTATCTAGGGACTGGACCGCGGAGTTTTGATTGCTTAACAAGTTACAAAGGTAATCAACTATTACTGAAGGTGTTTTTAAGGGTAGGTTAAGTAAGCGGGTTTTAGATGGTGACCCGCCATTGGAGATTTTGGTCATCTGATCGAGGCCTTCCGCTGGCTTATCGGTCCACCCATTTAAAAATTATGGTCATAGTTATAACCACTTCTTTAGTTTTCAAGTTTCATATATTAGTTAATTTGTTTTTAATGGTCTTGTGTGAAATGCTCAGCATAACAAGCAACTTTCTATATAGTAGTATGTCACTGATGTCAGCTATGGTCTGTATACCTTGTACATGTACTGGTATACCTTGTACATGTACTGGTATACCTTGTACATGTACTGGTATACCTTGTACATGTACTATACTTGTAGAAATAAAGATATTATTATTATATTCTAGGATGCTGGGGATGGGTTACAACTTGGTCACAGGACATGTGAACATACTAGTTCATAAATTAGACACATGTGCAACTCTTGGGTATCTTTATTGAGGAAACGTTTCGCCACACAGTGGCTTCATCAGTCCATACATGGGAGAAACTTGAACAGGAGGAGAATGAGGTAATCAGTCCCTCAACCTTGAGTCGATGTGTTCAGTCCATCAATCTTGAGTAGAATACGGCATATGAGCGGAGAAGCAGCTTATAAACCGTATGGCAGGAGAGGTGCAGCAGTCATAGGTGGTGTTACATTTGTTCATTGTGGAAGTAGGTCGTGCCCAAGAATTAGGCAAGCGAAGAATTCCTAAGTATTAAGATCCCAAGAAGTTGCAGTGTCTGACAGGTTTGTAGATGAATGACTGCTGCACCTCTCCTGCCATACGGTTTATAAGCTGCTTCTCCGCTCATATGCCGTATTCTACTCAAGATTGATGGACTGAACACATCGACTCAAGGTTGAGGGACTGATTACCTCATTCTCCTCCTGTTCTTCAAGTTTCTCCTATGTATGGACTGATGAAGCCACTGTGTGGCGAAACGTTTCCTCAATAAAGATACCCAAGAGTTGCACATGTGTCTAATTTATCAACATGTCGGTTCTCTGAACCATTCATCTACAAACATACTAGTTGCTCTTAGAATTTGGTCCTCCTTACCGTAAACAAGTGTTTAAATTTTAAGCCGATTGGCTGAGGTATTTTCGAGTTACGAGCAAAAAAAAAATATATAAAAAGTGGGAGGAAGAAAAAAGTTACCCCTCCATGAGTACATAATTATCCTGGCCTTTTGTACTGTATATAAGATATGACTCACATATCAGGCAAAAATAATTACAGATGTAATACAATACCTAACTGTATTAAGATTTCGTTTGGATTTTTAACCCTGGAGGGTTAGCCACCCAGGATAACCCAAGAAAGTCAGTGCGTCATCAAAGACTGTCTAACTTATTTCCATTGGGGTCCTTAATCTTGTCCCCCAGGATGCGACCCACACCAGTCGACTAACACCCAGGTACCTATTTGCTGCTAGGTGAACAGGACAAGAGGAATCTGTTGTTGAATTCGTCTCAAAGCTTTTATTTTTAATATATAATAATAACAATATATAACAAGATACTTACAAGTTGGCAGGACCCAATGATCTGTTAAATATCTTGGTCCGTACTGATGAAATTCTATTGTAAGACATGTGAAAGTAAGTTTGGAAATATTATAATGAAAATTGGGTGAAAAAAATGAGTATTTGGAAAATTATGCAATTTTTTAATATATCAATAATTAATTTTCAACCTGAGCTCAT